GTGGTATGAAATACGACGGTGTGTCTTCGTAATTACCTAATTTTGAAGCCACGAGTGATATGTAACCTTCTCTTATATATTCGTTAATGACGCCGTCATAAGCTTCTTTTAACTGGGGTGAAGCGAGCATCCTACGCTCCAAGCTGTAGAAACGTTTTTCCGCCATTTGACGCGAATCGCCGAGAGATAAAACATCTCCTTTAAAGGGTAGCGCTACACTATATCTACCGTCGCGATCACGAACGGTCGTGCGGACGTAAATTTCCTCGCATAATCTGTCATCTGAGCTAGCTATGGGTGGGACGTTCACCTCCTCCATCTCCCAAAATTTGCGGACTAACGACTCGAGCGGTTCGACAGCCATACCACAATAAGAGGTTGCCGAAATACTATCTATGATGGGGGCGGAGCCAACGATAACATAGCCCAATACGGTTTCCAGTGCGTAAGGCGCGGTATGCGAGGAGTTGCCCCTGACCTTATTGTTTAACAACAGATGAGGGAAAAGCGATGCTCCAATGAGCATGTCTATGTTTCCAGGAACGGCGTAAGTGTCGTCTGCTAGAGTCAAATTTTTAAATTCAATCATTGCCGAGGTGTCAACCGAAACGGTTGGCAGCCGTTCAGTGACCCTATCCACTACTAGTGCATTTATATCAAAGTTAACATTACGATCTATCCGAGAGTAAAATTTTAAATTTATATATCCCTGGGTAGCTTTACTAGTACCTCCGATGCCTTTGACTACAGGACACGAAAGTGACCTATTTATTACTAAGCCTAAGCGCTGACAACATTGTCGCGTTATAAAGCTATTTTGGGCTCCGCTGTCCAGCAGTGCACGGACGCTTTGTTCGTTTCCACGCGAATCCCTAACCAAAATACGCGCCGTACCCAGTAACACGGTTGAAGGAGGTTGTGCTCCCATATTGGCCAATGAGCACAGAGCGACATCACCAGGTCGACCGCTAGAATCGTTGACTTTAGTAGGGGTGAATTCCTTATCCGCTTTACTTGACGCTGCTATGTTGCTATTTTCAAAATGTAATAGCGTGTGATGTTTCCTGGCGTACTTGCTACATACGGAACTCGAATTGCATTTTGCAACTAAATGCTTATCACTTAAGCAGTTCAGACATAGGTTGTTTATCTTCACTAAATTATAACGTTCGCTTGGTGAATATTTACGAAAAGTCGCACAATTGTATAAATTATCGTGTTTATCTTTACATACGACACAAGCATGCTGAAGTGATGCTGACGTAGCGGTTACGTAAGTTAACGACCCTGCTATTTTAGATGGTTGAGTCTGTCTACGGTCGACGCACCTTTTAATCTCCTGTTTAACTTTCGGAGAGCGCTGCATCACCTTTATTTGATCTCGCACGAACGATGCTAATGAATGATAGGAAGGCATCTCCGAGCTACGATGCTCCATTTCAAACGCACGCACGGTGTCGGGGTCTGATTTCTTTAGTGCAATATGGAGAAACACCACGTCCATAAGGTCATTAAATTTCAAATTCTTAAGTGCAGCCACCGATGCCACAAATTTATCTAAAAACTGCTCTAAGCTGTTGATGTTCGCGGATGATATAGGTTTAAGATCGAATATCTGGTTCAAATATTCGGAAGCTAACATTCTCCTATCTTCATATTTAGTTTTAAGCGTTTCGAATATTAACAAGTAATTGTTTGCTGTAGGTGTAAAACCCGAGCAAATTGACTGTGCTCTGCCACTAAGTTTACTAATTAAATAATATAATTTTTCAGCGTCCGATAACGATGGGTTATTGTGTATATTGTTTTGAAAACTACTGAAGAAGAAGGGCCATGTCTTAATATCACTATTGAATACCGGAATATCTATTGGCGGCAACCTAATTGAGTCACGTGGACGTACCTGTATTTCCGGCTTTGCTTCGTTTTGAGATTGTAAGAGTTTCTCCGTTCTTTTCACGCGACACAACATATCTTCAAATGCTAGAAGCGGTTGGTAGTTCACTTTGTATTTCGGGTCGATTTTTAATTCCAAATGATTAATTTGGTCTAATATTCTTTCGTAATCCGTCCGCAAAGAATCTACCGTTTCAATTTTATTCAAAAAAGTTTCCCGCACTGCTTCTACATTGATGTTCTTTATGTGATCACTAATACTTTGTATACGTGAAAAAAGTATGTCCCTCTTGGCATAAAGCGTTTTAATTTTAATTTCATTTCCACTAACTGCCATTTTAAAATTTTTGTAATAAAGTTATATTAATCACAATTAATCTCACAACGCACAAATAATGAAGGATGGACACTCGTATGCCGAATTACGTAATTAAATCGAACACTTGTTATAGCGAGTCGAGGTGACGCGTGTCGCTCGCTAAACTCAATATATTTTTATCAAAATTGTCGGGTAAGCGTACAAAACGATTGCTATTACACTGTTTCAATTATTTAAGCGACTAATAAGCTTTAAATTTAAACCAATTACAAACACTATTTAAATGAATAATTCTGTTTGCGAGTACCTAACCAAAATTTAAATTTAAACGAACACTATTTAAGACTATTCCATAAACTAGAGTGCATTATCTAAATAATTAATCTAATAATTCGACCAAAAAATGGTTGAACGACTACTAAACACCAGTCCAAATACTGCCGAAGTGACCATAAAATGGTAGAGCGTCGAGCGTAAGGTTGCCGAAGTCTAATTCCCCGGTCGAACCTTAAAACCTATTACGCGAGCTATTAATCTAAGTGGACTGTATGTACTAAATGTTTCTACACTTATATAAACGGTAACTATAGCATGCGGTACAATGCACTCGCTCTTCCCTAAAACGAACTATTATTTGCCAAATCGATGAAAGGAATCCTGCTTGATTAGGAGAAAACAAAATTGGAGCGGTTTAAAACACAATTATATCAAGCAGGCAATACAGGCAATATTATTAGGAATATTGACTCACCGGGGTGTCTCTTCTCTGCTGTTGGGCACTATAGCTGCGACTTCTGGAACTTCTTCTGGACAGACACTCTGGAGAGAGGCAGTGCGCGACTATATCTCACACGAGGTGAGGCGGGTTTCCTGGAGCTTGACTGCTTCCAGGCTAAAGCGGTTCTACTAGCGGTGTGGTTCCAACTACGAGCGCGGCGGGAAGAGAGCGCGCGTCGGTCGCGCGTGCCTTTATATTCCTTCGGTTGCGATGATTACGTGATATTCTAGAATCATCTTCTTTCCCCTCCCACCCCACCACCCCGATGTGTCGATAGGAGGGTATGAATGATATCGTTTTGGAAAGGGATAACCGATTTGGCAGCCCACCGTCAAAATAAATAAATACGAATGGTTTTCCGCGCAACCACAATGTGTGGGTGGAAATTATAGGTGACAAAATTATCGGTCCGTATTTCCTTGACCACACAATGAGCGGTGAAAACTACGGACGTTTTCTGCGAGAAGAACTAAGCAATGAACTTGACGAAATAAATTTAGAACTCGTTCGTCGCATGTGGTTTCAACACGATGGCGCTCCACCTCATTTCTCCCGTGGTGTAAGTAGTTTTTTGAATACTGAATTCCGTGAAAGATAGATTGGCCGCGGAGGACCGGTCAACTGGCCGGCACGATCACCTGATCTCACACCTTTAGATTTATATAATACATGCGATACCGAGACATAAATACGTATGCGTATAGTCGCAGCCTTTGAAAAAATAAAATCCGAAATGTCTGTTATGCAACGCGTGCGCTCAGCAGGCTTACTCTTGAAAACAATTCCGATCGATCGGGATTGAAATTATAACGTTTGGTACTCTTGAAAGCGACTCTAGCGCTAAATTAGTTAAGTATTGCGTGTTGATTGTGTGAACAAATTGAGATTGGAATTGAAATTGTCCAAGCAAAATCGGTACTCCCTCCCGACGCACTTTTGACAGTTAGTTGACAGCAGCGTATTGTGTTTAATATTGCGTTGGAATTGGAATTAATAGCAAAACAGTAACGTTTTAGGATTTTTTTTTTCATATTAATCGTTTTTTTTCTGCAATTATCTTATTGTTTGCGATAAAATAATGACATGTTTAACTCTTGCGTCTATTTTTCGACGCCGTAATTGTGCATTACAATTAAAATAATGACGAAATGAGCTTCAAATTATGCGTTTAAAGCACTTAAGTTTCTTTCTATGAGTGATGATGATTATGGAGCTAATTATTGTATTATTAAGGAATTTAGTGAGAAAATAGTGCATGAATAAAAACCTAAATATGACCCTACGTAGAAAATATATTTTATGAATGAAATGAAGTATTGTTAACAAAGAGTTACAGCCTTTATTTTTGATTCGTTTGAAAGTGGTTGTTTGGTAAAAGAAATGTTTTAAATAGTTAAGCAGCGCAAAGTTTTGAAGAAAACTGTTTAGATATCTCAAGTATGATCTAAAGCATCCCACTGCTGGGCAGAGGTCTCTTCTCATGTCTGAGAGGTTTATTGGCGGGTTTCACACGTAAAGGAATATGATTATAATAAATGTATAATTTTATCCCCTCGTGTCTCCAAATGCCATATTCTATATATATATATTATATACTTATACATATTATATACTTGACGACGGACGGACGTACGGACGGCCATGTACGGGGCACCGAGTCGAACGCCTTCTTCTATGTATATTATACCCTTATATATATAAAATAAAAATAAAAGTAATAATGAAAATATAAAATAAATACTTATTTAGTTTTTCAGTATTACGCTTTCCCAAAAGTTTTAAAGTGTTTGTTAAAAGCTGGTGGAGCACGTCGCATCCGTTGGACTAAAGCTATCAACGAAAACGCAATGCGGGCGTACTATTGGGCGAAAGGAGAAAAAACTGTGGGGATAGCGTATAGGGCTCGGATGCATTGCTTTTTTGCTGAGCTGGAGCCGTTTATTCTCGTCACGGAACAAAATCTGGCAGACCGAGTTCGGTTTATGATGCGCTCGAAAATATTTGATGATGCCGAACTCGAACGACTACGACGTGAGGCTATTCCCTCATCGAATGAATCCTATGGCTGGGGATGCGGCTCCACTTGCGACAGACCACATGCTGGCGACCTATTTGGAAGCCAGCCAGGACCTTTGCGAGACAAACTCAATTCTTTTTGGCGCCGCAATGGCAGTTTGCCGTATTATTGGCTCCAAACTTCCCATGGCTGGACGCGCTGTTAGACAAAGTAGCGCCATCCCAGCCAGGAGGAAAAGAATTGAGGACCGTATCACAAAGGCAAGGGCCCTTATCGGCAGACTGACAAGCTTCAGGTCGGGTAATATAGACCGAGGGTTGTGCGTACCGTTATAATGGCGTTTGCTGGGACAAATATCACTTTGTCCCAGCCGGATATCACGCAGAAACTAACGGAGCGCATAATTGACCTGAAGCAAAAAAATCGCTGCTTGGGGGAGGCGGATTCGACGATTTACAGAGAGGTCAAGGCGGTTCAACCAGAATCGTCTTTTCCAGAGTGATCAGAAGAGGCTCTATAAATTATTGGAGCAACCAGAGGTATGTGGACCAGAACCGGATCAGGCTGACAATATCGCATTTCAGCGTGGCCTGTGGTCAGAGCCCGTAAACCACAGCGAGGGCCCTTGGATGGAAGTTGTGGCGAGCCAGGGTGCGAGTGTTACGCCTATGAACCCCATCACCATAACGCCGGACCGCGTGGCTGAGGCGGCCCGTAGGGCCCCAAACTGGAAAAGTGCGGGGCTCGACGGGCTGCATTATTACTCGCTGAAGGGGTTCATAGTGTGTCACGCTGTGCTCGCCCAGCAGTTTCAAGAGGCTCTCGACCAGAAGTCGCTCCCGAACCTCTTCACTACTGGGATCACTCACTTGGTTCCTAAAGATCAGGATACCACAGACTCGAGCAAATACCGCCCCATCGCATGTCTACCCACCATTTTTTTTTATAGAATAGGGTGACAAACGAGCACACAGTCCACCTGATGGTAAGTGGTTGCTGCGGCCCATAGACATCTACATCTATCCTCCATTAAAAATCACTGACTGAGATGGAATGCCTCGTTTCCTGTAAAAAGGATCTCCGGTTCTGTACACTCACGTGCTCAAAATGGATGTTGGGGCGGTAATCGTGGAACCAAGGAACCACTCCTCATTGACGCGGTCATTGGCAAAGTGGTGAAACGCAACCGTTGGAACTTCTCCGCCGCCTGGATAGACTACAGAAAGGCGTTCGACTCGGTGCCCCATACATGGCTAAAGAGGGTCCTCAAGCTGTACAAGATTGACTGTACAGTTAGAGACATCCTCGAGCAGTGTATGGGGCAGTGGAGTATGATCCTTTGTCATCTGGGTAAGCGAATGAGGGCTGCGGAAAGCTGCATAATGATAAGAAGGGGTATCTTCTAGAGCGACTGTCTGAGTCCAATCTGGTTCTACCTCTCTTTTAACCCTCTCAGTACTTTACTGGAGTGCTCCGGGAGGGGATTTAAGCTTCGGAAAGAAGGCACAACAGTGACCCACCTTTTCTATATGGATGACTTCAAGTTATTCGCCTCCAGTCGCTCCTTCTCTCATATGGAATTGCTAAAAATTACTTGTGAATTTAGCAATTCTATTGGAATAGAGCTGGGGACGGATAAGTGTGCGGTCCTCCATGTTGAAAGGGGAAGAGTTGCTATTTCTTAGGGCGTAGACTTATCTATGCCCGTCAACTTAAGGACCCTTTGCGAGGCTGAAACATACCGACACCTGAGTATGTCACGGAACATCGGTATCGATGAGGCTGGTTTGAAACAGTCAGTTTGCGACGTGTTTTATGCACGCTTGACCAAAGTGCTTAACAGCCTTTTGTCCGATGTGAATAAGACACACGCATATAACGGCTGGGTCATACCTGTCCTCATGTATACCTTTGGCATACTTAGGTGGACTCAGACTGAACTTAACGCTCTAGATAGAAAAGTCCACACTACCATGACGCCCCATAGGATGCATCATCCGAGATCGTCGGTAATGAAGCTGTACTTGCCGTGAAAGCATGGTGGGTGTGACGTTTTGAGCGCGCTAACCATGCATAATCTCAAAGTGTACAGCCTCCGTCATTACTTCCTAGTGAGATCGGATGATCCATTCTATAAGGACGTCATTTCTAGTGATAAAGAGCTTACCCCTCTATCCTTAGCCAACGAGCAATGGCAGGACCCAGCAGTATATAGCATTTCCGACCGGGAGACCGTATGGAAGTAGAAGGAGTTCCAAGGGAGGTACTACAGGGCTCTACATGAGCCCTTCGTAGACAGAAACAGAAACAGAAACAGAAACTTTTTTTATTCAATGTAGATTATAAACAATACTTATTGAAAGTCAATTTTTTCATTTACCACTGGTTCGCAAAAAAACCTCTGTCCTGGGAAGAACCAGCAAGAAACCCAGCGGGACTATTTTTTTTTTTCAAATAATAGCTTACAATCATGTTTACAATTAACAACACAAGACAAATTAGAAATAACTTGGTAGCGATCACTCTTCCCAGGGGTTATTATCATCCATAAATTCCTTAATATTATACAACCCTTTTTATACAAACTTAGTTTAATAAAATTTTTGAACTTTGCATATGACAAATTTTGTATATTTTCTGGGATTTTGTTGTAAAAGCGTATACATCGCCCCAAGAATGAATTACTGACTCGGTGGAGTCGAGTAACTGGTACTAATAGATTGTGTCTGTTCCTAGTATTTAATGAATGAATATCTCTTATTTTTGTAAAACTACATTTATTATTGTGTACGTACATTACATTTTCATAAATATATTGAGAGGCTAGAGTTAATATATTAATTTCCTTAAAATTTTGTCTCAGTGACTCTTTTGGTTTTAAATTATATATTGCTCTAATGGTTCTCTTCTGTAAAATAAATATAATTTCAGTGTCAGTCGCGTGTCCCCATAGCAAAATACCATACGACATAATGCTATGGAAATAACTAAAGTAAACTATTCTTGCTGTTTCAACACTGGTGAGAGTTCTAATTTTTTTACAGCATATGCTGCAGAACTAAGTCTGCTGGCTAGTTTTGATATATGGGGGAGCCATTGAAACTTTGCGTCTAGTGTGATTCCAAGAAAAATGGTGGTATCAACAAGACTCAGTTCTTTACCATTTAAAATTACATTCGTATTAACATGTTTGACATTAGGAGTTACGAATTTCATACATTTAGTTTTAGTTCCATTTAAATGCAAATTATTAACATTAAACCAATTTTATATATTATTTACTTCGTCGTATATTATTTTTTGTTTGTCTTGTGCATGCATACATAACCTATTATATTCAACCGATTACGCTGAAACTTTTGAAAAGTTTTGTAGTGCTGTTTTCTGAAATATGTATATGTCTGTATAATATGTATTCTGAAGTATGGCGGGTACAGTTAGCTAAATCAAAAAAAGTAGAAGTAGGTATTGAAATTTAACTGAATTAGTTATTAAAATACAATACGATAATTCGCCAGATAACAAGAACATCACTACTCGCAAACGCTTCTATGCAATCGATAGGAAACCTTTGATTGTGTCATTACAATTGAATCAAAATTAAATTCTAATGCAATGAGCTAGATCAAGCAAATCAGCTAGATTTTGCTTTCAGATTAATGATAAATTCATACTATTTTTTAAAAATTTAAAGCAGTCACTGCTTTTTTATGAAAATACGATAAACATTTAATAAAAGTATAAAGCCGGCGTATTTTTTTTAAATTAAACTTGCCAGATGTTTTTATAAATATTAATCATAAATTTTGCTTTTTGTTATGTTCTTATCAAATTCCTAACGCTTGTAGTGAGTGGTCTTAACAGATAATAGTGTACGGACGTCCGAATGCGATACAATATACGGATGGTTATAGATGATAATAACCCCTGGGAAGGGTGATCGCTACCAAGCTATTTCTAATTTGTCTTGTTTTGTTAATTGTAAACATGATTGTAAGCTTTTATTGAAAAAAAAAATAGTCCCGCTGGGTTTCATGCTGGTTCTTCCCAGGACAGAGGTTGTTTTTTGCGAACCAGTGGTAAATTAAATTAAAAAAGTGACTTTCAATAAGTATTGTTATAATCTACATTGAATAAAAAAGTTTCTATTTCTATAATATAATATTATAAAACCAATCAGTAAAACTACGATGTATATTTAAATACATATGTTTTGTTATTTATTTCCATTTAAGATCGTAATGTCTTCATCGGTTGATATTTTTATGAAGTAGTTTATCAGTAGAGAAGTAGTCAGTAAGTGATTGGGTGCGTTTGGCAGAAAAAAGCTCTAGCAAGCGCTTGTAAGCAAAATGGCGAAACTAAACAGTTTTCGGCCAGGTCACGTTTGCTAACTGCAGTAGCGCTGACACAATCCGCCATTTTGCTTATTTAATTTGTTTGTTTTGAAGTAGAGTTTATAAGTTATTTTGTGCAATATTAGTTTTAAGTAATAAAATTACATGAATAGAGATATACATGTTATTAAAAATTCATGATTGATAAGTTTTTATTATTTTACAAACATATATTTAAATTAGGTTAGATTCCCAGGTTAAAACTTACTTCGTGTCCTAGAGGAAAATAGCTACTTACGATTTGACAGCGCTTACCGCTTACTTACTTTTTTCTGCCAAACGCACCAATTGTAAGTAGATTCGTTTTGAGGAAAGTTTACGTACTCCCCTCAGACGAAATAAGTACTCCCCTGCCACGGCTATGCTACTTCAGTAAGACGAAACAATAAGTTAAAATAATGTACAGACATATTCCCACAGGCTTTTTATCTTCCTTGCGAAAAAGTAAATTTCCTTTCTACCTCATTATTCGAAACAATGTTTCCTTTATGCTACATATCGTTTACGTAGTAGGCCACTTAAAACCATTTCCATGTATTCTCAACAAACATACGCATTATATTTTAATTCAGTTCTTTAAAAACAATCAATAAACTAATTTGCTATTATCTACTATTATACATCTACATCAATCGTTGATTTGTAGGAGGTTAAGCTGGGCAAATATGGAAACGTCATTTCACTATTCCAAGAATATAATGTTTTTTTTTTACACAAGAACAGTTTGCAATACAGATATTACAGCACCAAACAAGAGAAATTAAAACTAAATACAAGTAATTAAACGTACAAAAGAATTTAAGGTATGCGAGCCAAAAATAGGTTTTTGCGATTTGAAAGGCAACCGTTACTCTGGCGGCGCAAAGCGTGGGGTCTAACGTCGATGCCGTTTCAATGCAGACTAGCTTTCTACATATTTATTTATCTATGATGCAGAC